AAGAAATGTTTAGTTAATCTTTTAACGGTTGCTGTAATTATTCTCAGTGGTGTCAGAAATACAATATTAACAGTATCTTCATCAATTAATTCGATAATTATTCCAATAGAACCATTATAAAGACTGTGCTCAAATAAGGCATTATTAAGATACATAACACATGCACCTTTTTGTAAAATTAAAGAGGCAGGTAGATTTGTATACTGGCAAAAAATATGATCATTTTCAACCAAGTCCCATTCTTGATTATTAATATGATCAATTGCGATTAAGATGGCAGGTTCGGGATCTTCTGGTTCTCAAGGCAAGGTTAAACATGCTAACTTATTTATTTTATCAGCCATGGAATGAAATCCAACTAAGTGCGTAATATCAATAGGGGTGCATGAAGATGGAGTTTTTATTTTATCATTAATTGTTTGTAACGTATTATCTGATATAAATCCATCTCGAATTTTATTTAATATATTATAAAACATTATATCTTTGTTTTGTCTACGAGGGGTAGTTAAAAAGATCGGAAAAAATTTGTACCAAACAGGTGATCGAAACACTTGTGCACCATTTATGAGAGGTAGTTATGCAAGTTCACCAATCAGTAAAACTCTGATTCCACTGAATGGTAAAGTATTATCGTGCAAACAGGCAAAGAGATTACTAATAAATGTCAATAAACTAGCGGATACCATGGATATTTCATCGATTATAAAAACTTCAATTTCGTGAAGAAGCTGGCAATTTTCTGGATTGTTCAGGGCTAAACTTATATGATTACTAGAAGATGATCATATTTTTAATTGAGAATGAATTGTTTTACTGTTAATGTTTTGGGCTAAGACACCTGTTGGGGCCATTAACAAATACTTTTTATGATGCGATTGGAGGTGATTCATGATTAATGTTATAAGATACGATTTATCAGTTCTTGCTGAGCCAGTTAGGAAAAAATAGGGATGACCACATTCATCTACACATCTCTACACTAAAGTTAATAGATTAAATGCAGCATATTGGTCTGTAGATGTTTGCAATAACAAGTAATGAGAAATTAATAGCAGAGAACATATCAAAGTATTGAGCTGATTGCATATAATAGTTGCAATATCATGCTGCATTGCATGTATTATTTTATCTATTTGTAGACGATAATTATAAAAAAACCTAGTAATTCTCGCTGATGTACTTTGATTAATGTTCTGTATAACTTGATCGAATTGTTTGGGGAATATCAATCAAAAATGATTGTGGTAGATAGGATATGATCCCAATAATTCACTCTTATTTCTATAGGGTAAATGAAGTAGAAGTTGTTGATAAAAAAATGATTCACTATCTTCTATCGAAAGATGCTAAAATCATACTAAAATCGACTTTTTCCTCTTAATTACAAATTTACTATGTTGATCTATCCAGTAGAGAGTATTTGTATTTGGTTAATTGGATTTTATCTTGTAGTTTTGATGATAATGTGGATATGTAATATTATCAAGACATAAGTTGGTCAGTCTAAAAAAATATTTGTCAATAGCATCTGCTCAGTAGGGATTAGAGGTTTTGCTGTTTAATAGATGAATTGGTTTTACACACTTTGATCGTACATTAGGAGGTGCAGTCAGTAGATATTCCGTGGCAATAGTAGAATGACAAATAGAGTATCTGATCAAGAGAACCATCAATTCCATTGTGCCAAGATGTCTGGCTAAGACATGAGATCGATAGGTGTCATGTTCAGTCAGCTTAAATAAATCAGAACTTTTCAGTTTGGTAATGTACTTGGTCATATATTTAACAAAGGATTTTGAGGTAATATATTGAAAATTACAGTGTCCTTGCCATAACAATAATGTAGGCATGTGATAAGGAACGACTCATCGATCAGCTTCTTTGGTCCGATGATAAGTATAACGGAAAAAAGCAGGATTAAAATGAGTACAATTAGAGAGTGGCACTGGAAACTTTTTCCTGCATTTTTTTCCAGGGAGAGGTGGTCCTCCACATTTATTGGGACAACAGCGATGAATCTGATGATCACGAACCAGTTCATAAAGAACCAGTTCAGTCTGAGGGTTAGGAAGGTCAGCACGAATAACATTGTATTCTATTAGACGGGAATTGGCATATCAAGATAAGTTATACTATGGGTATTTATACTGCTGTGATTCTAAACTCATCTTATTCAAAATGATGTAACCATTTACCCCATTCGGATAGGTTTGGATTCTTCTATAATAAATTTCGAACAGAATTTAACCTTTGATAGTAATGAAAATAGGTATGTAAAGGGCAGTTTGTTGGTAATGTGCAACAATCATCAGTATGTGATAAAATTTTTATCAAATGTGGCCAAAGGCCTTTAGTCATAGTCATCATATAGAAAATTTGAGGTAGACCAAAACTTTGAATTGTTGCATTTACAGAACATTGACGTTGACAAAAATAAGTATCACCAGTCCAAATATTTGATAGGAGTGTAGTAGTCAATTTTTCATTAATAACAGGTTGATTATTGTAAATGCTTTGATTAATCAGATCCGCAATCGTTGGAAGTTGCTAACGATCGATGTTCCATTGACATAAAATGTGTTGTCTGTTTTGATGGTTTCGTAGCTTTTCCAAATTAATATAAGACCAATACGGCCAATACCAATAAAAATGGAATCGAGGATTTGGACACAATAACTGAAGTTTAATATATTTAGCATATGTATCAATATAGTTACGATGATTTGTTAATCCTCTAGAGATCTCTCCCCAATGACCATGCCTATCTGAAAAAGATCAGGAAAAAGGATTGCTTCTAAATTAGGATCATTACATGGAATTGGTAACTCTATATTATCAGGATTTGTAATGAAACCTGCCAATAATCTACTATAATGAAAATCCTCATTATGAATTTCAGGATCAAAATCATATGGTAGTACTATTATATCAGGATGATGTTGCAGAGTAGTGTTATTAGGTAATGTGTTCTCATCATCATCAATTGCCTGTGTTGTAGGAAAAATGAGCCGAAGACAGGTAATAATAATTAATGAAAACATTTTATCAAACTATTTAAAGAATCGATTATTGTTTTTTAACCAGCTAGCAGCACGAAGTAAAGATGGATGAAACCAATTACCATTAGGTGCAGAATCTATGATAGCGCCTAATGTTCCAGCATAAATTTGTAAGGCACGAACATTTTTCGAGAGACCGAATGTACCAGTAAGATGGCGATAATATGTAAAATGATTTGAGTTTTCTGCATGCCTGAGAGAGCAACTTAGATGAATAGGCAAAAGCCAATGTTGACAAAACATCAGAACATCAGCTAGAGCATCTGGAATAGGAGCAAGTATTGGAGGGTCGTGATGTCTAGAATAGATATACATGATGTACACACCGCGACTAATTTTCTTTATTAGGATGTTTAGTGAGTGACAAAAATAGAAAAGCTTGACAAAAATCATAATCTACATCGTCATCGCAAGTGACCCATTTGCTTAAGCAGGAAACATAAAAATAGAGCAATGAGAACATGGTACACACAGAAACATATACAAAATCTCAGTTTGAAATCGATGACTGAGAGAAATCAAAGAATGAGAAGGTTGCAAAGAGGGGAAAGAGGTTAAATCAGATGTTAATTGATTTTGGTTTTTAGACAAAAAAGTAGGTGCTTACAGATGGTCAGTGTTAACATTCATCTGGGTTTGGTGAACCAAGAAAACATCATTACATAAATTATGATAGGAATTATCTTCATCTAAATCAGTTATTGTTAATTGAGTTATTGGAAGGGACATCATATGCGTTCGATAAAGATCAATATAAGTTTTTTTATATTATACTTAGGTTGACTAAGATTTATTGACAATGATAAAATAGAAGTTTTTCTCTTTTTTATAACATTTAAAAAAGTTCAAATCTATTGCTCTAAATATAACAAACTAATGATTATAAAATACACAATGAACATCTTATGCAGAGACAATTAAGAATTTTTGTAAATATTTGGATTTTTTTAATAAGAGATATTTAAAAAATTTAATAATAATATTTTAATGGCATTGTCTATGATGATATATATGCAGTGTATATATATTATTGTTTATTTATTTGGTAAAATGATCAATATTTGATAAAATCGGTAATATTAAAAAGACACAGACATATATTCCTGTAATTGTTAACAGATTACAAAACATGAATTCATTATAACAGAAAATTAGAGGGTACATGTCATCGAATCAATTAATTTGTAGTGACATACATCATGTTTTTTTAATGAGTTTTGGTATCTAGCAGTAATGGTAAATCAAATTGCCTTATATAAATCGATATTACAGTACATACTCGAGATAATTAACATTATATCGATTATAATTACATTCAATTAATCGCTTTAATTATTACACTTAGTCTTCAGATTATGCAATACAAATCGCTCTATTGTATGACATAATAATTTTGAATCACGTAATATTCATATAAGAAATGATACATTATTTTATATCAGTAAATCTAAATAATCAGAAAGTTTAAAACAAATCTAAACGATTATATCAACATGCATACGCATATATTAAATGGACAAAATGCGATATATCATGTCACATAAGCAGTCCAAAATAAATAAAGTTAACTGTAGTCTATGTGCTAATCACGCAACAACATATGTCAGTGGTTCTAATTAGCAACAAATCGAGGCAAGTGTAACAATAATGATACTCAAAGGTAGATCGAAAGTAATTTATTAAATAGCAAATAATTTTTATTCAGTCAGTTTTGCATGTAATAGAACAACACAAGAATTATATATGCTTTAAGAAGCTTAATGTTAGTTTTAATAACATGTGAGTACTACACCAAGAGGTTCAGGAATATAAATAATACTGATAATAGGTAAATCATAGGTAACATTAAGTTTAATCACCAGACCACAATAAAAAGCTCTTTCACAATAAAGTAGATATATTATCACACAGAATACAGTGATTATTTTTTGGTTTTTCTCAGGATTCTCTTACTTCTTTTTTTATCTGTTCTTCTTCAACATTCTGTTCATGCAAGTATTCTAAAACATCATCTTTTAAAACATCTTCAGGACAAATTCTTTCATCTTAAATGTTATCTTTAATGATCGTTTCAAGCCAATTCAAGGCTAAATCAGACAATTTATTTTTTCTTTTTGGATTTGAAATGTTTCAGAATTAATATTAATGGGTGTTATCGAAGTTGGAAAAGGTGTAGTGGAGTTACTGGTAACAGAAGACGAGCTAGTACTTTGTTTAGAAGATCTTGACATAATTACATGAGACCTTTTCAGCACCTGTGATGTAGTAGAGTTAACATCTTCAGTGATCAGATCAATATCTGACTGATTATCTGAAGCAATTGAAGAAGTGCTCACTTGCACATCCTGGATTGTATTGGCATTAGTAGATATAAAGTCGAGATCCGTAAGTTTAACTATTATAAAATCTGATGTTATACGCTTAACAAAACCAGACACAATAAACATTCTGCCTATTTTAATACTGTGATTAACATGCAGATAAGAGAATCGCAGAGCATTGGTAGGATAAAATATTCTCAATTTCATATGGACATTTCTTGAATTCATATTCGAATTATATTGATAATATCTAGCATCAAAATAAGTAGACTCTCTGCAATCCTTTGGTTTACAGGAGACAAGCGCAGGAAACATGCAGTGAGGAGTGCTAAGCGGTATTTCATTGGCTTCAAATTCTCGATCAGGGTCATTAGCCACAACAACACAAGCATAAGAAACAGAAATGTATTGTTCAAGATTTTCAACTATAAATTTATCCATGAACATTATGATATCTCCAATTGAAAATTCAGTGTAAGGTTGATTAAAGGGGTAGAAATACTTCCAACGAACAACACTAAAATCATTTTTGGACATTTGATACTTAGCGAAACCCTGGGTTAGAGAAATAAAATCTTCCTTTGTGACTATAATAATGATCACAGTAGTATGAAAAGACATAATCAATCAAATCAATTAATTTAAATTGTAAGAATATTGAAATTTTAGCAATAAACGTTTCATGGTTATATATATATTATTTCAATGCATAACAGAGTATAGTAGAAATAGCAGGTAATACACTGTCTAATATTGGTATTTATTTATTTATTATAAGAATAAAATTGATACCGAAGCATTTCGTGAGATAAAACAAAATATATCCAAATATTTTTTAGTACTTATTCTAAACAAAGAAAAAATAATAATCAAAATACTAATCGATCCTAAAGTATAACTTAAAATTAAAATGAAAAAACATCAAAATAATAAATTAATAATAGAAATTCATATCATCTTCATGACAATAACGATAAAGGTTAATTTTGAAAAATAACATTAGTGTTTAATATCGGCAATAATAAATAGCAAAGAAAACACTATTACATACAAGTATGCTTAGTATATTATATAATTTTACTAAAAACAAGTAACGCGTATCATAAAACAAAAAAAATAAAGGTAATGACTATGAAAAGTTTAAGATATATTTGGACAACATGGGTAGATCATTAATCCATATTAAGAAAAATTAAATTAATATATGCAGGTCGATTTTAAGAATGAGTGACGCAAAGCTAAAAATGCAAATCTTACTGGCAAGATCCATAAGGCTTAGCTTTGTGACATTCGAACAGCCAGAATATCAAGTATACTGTAAAGTAACAAACAACGCCTAGAGGTGAAAACACGAATTTTAGGTTAAAATTAGCAAAAACCGAGCGAGAGGTCAAAAGAATACCCAAGACCGATATTTTGAGATGATACAGTAAATCAACTTACATAGGATTAATAATATCGTACGTATGTTAACGGTATTAAAATGAAACCGGAGCACTGACGTCGCCTAATAGGGTCATTACACAAAGACTCGAACCATCCATCTTGTTTGCATATTATAATTAACGTGACCAAAAAAAAAAATATAAATACAACCCAAATACGATAAAAAATTTCGGGGGCCTATGCGCAAATTGATCATCGCATTCAGCACATTCAGGGCCTTCAGCGCCTTCAGCGCATATTGCGCACATAAGATAATATAAAATATTTAGACGAAGATCTTCTCCGCTTTAGTCAAAAAGGAAATGTGGCGGATCACGAGTAGATGCGCGACCAGTAAACAACGGGTTTACAAACCAATTCGGATACGATCTACCGAATTTCGGTAAAAAAAGATAAGAGGGTGTTAATTAACTTGTGCACCATAATTACTTACAGGATTCACAGTTTTGCTACTAATTATTTGTTTATTCGCAATGCTTACCGCATTGCGAAGCAGGATTGATTATAGAATGAAAATACAACAAATCATCTTGTCATCTTGGTTGTTACAGCAGTTAAATTTAATGTATAACCTTTAATTTCTTTTTAATGCTGATTCCAATTGGATAATGATCTCTCTCTCTATATATATATATATTTACGATGAAAAAACGGTTAACTGATCGTAAAAACAGTTTATTTCATTTATTACTTTATTTATTTTGCATTATCACAACTTAAATAAATTACATATTTACAATTACATTTAAATTTTATACGAATCTTGATATATTTTAATATTTGGATTATTAGATTTTATAGTAAAACCAATGTTGTTAAAGTAAATAGTTAAATTTGTTAAGATAGTGTTCTTGCAAAGTGCATCAGCTAATGCTTTTCCGACTTCTGATCCAAGTTTATTATTACATAAATTTAAAGACGTTAAGGTAGTGTTCTTGCAAAGCGCATCAGCTAATGCTTTTCCGCTTTCTGATCCAAGATGATTATCGTCAAGATTTAAAGACGTTAAGGTGGTGTTCTTGCAAAGTGCATCAGCTAATGCTTTTCCGACTTCTGATCCAAGTTTATTATTACATAAATTTAAAGACGTTAAGGTAGTGTTCTTGCAAAGCGCATCAGCTAATGCTTTTCCGCTTTCTGATCCAAGATGATTATCGTCAAGATTTAAAGACGTTAAGGTGGTGTTCTTGCAAAGTGCATCAGCTAATGCTTTTCCGCCTTCTGATCCAAGTTTATTATAATATAAATTTAAAGACGTTAAGGTAGTGTTCTTGCAAAGTGCATCAGCTAATGCTTTTCCGCTTTCTGATCCAAGATTATTATAATCTAAATTTAAAGATGTTAAGGTAGTGTTCTTGCAAAGTGCATCAGCTAATGCTTTTCCGACTTCTGATCCAAGCTCATTACCGTAAAGATTTAAAGACGTTAAGGTAGTGTTCTTGCAAAGTGCATCAGCTAATGCTTTTCCGCCTTCTGATCCAAGCTCATTACTGTAAAGATTTAAAGACGTTAAGGTAGTGTTCTTGCAAAGTGCATCAGCTAATGCTTTTCCGACTTCTGATTCTAGATTATTCAGACTAAGATTTAAAGACGTTAAGGTGGTGTTCTTGCAAAGTGCATCAGCTAATGCTTTTCCGCCTTCTGATCCAAGATTATTATCGACAAGATTTAAAGACGTTAAGGTAGTGTTCTTGCAAAGTGCATCAGCTAATGATTTTCCTCCTTCTGATCCAAAATTATTATAATATATATTTAAAGACGTTAAGGTAGTGTTCTTGCAAAGTGCATCAGCTAATGCTTTTCCGCCTTCTGATCCAAGATCATTCTCTTCTAAATTTAAAGACGTTAAGGTAGTGTTCTTGCAAAGTGCCTTTATTAACTCGTTTATTTTTTCTGATCCACATTTGCAAGAGAGATCCCAAGATGAAGCGTTTTTTTGATCTTTATCGGTATGCTGACTGTTCTTGAGAATTTTGTCGTAAAGCTCTAATGCTTTGAGAAATTTGCCTTGATCCAAAGATTCTTTGGCTTCTTTTCTTATATTCTCAACGTTACCTTCTTGCATCAAAGTATTTGAACTTATTGTATCAGGCAAATAAAGAGGAGATGAAGTCGTAATGTCGAACGAATTAACGGGTGCGGAAGAGATTGGATTATCTTGACGACTTGGAGAAGAATCGCTATTTTGAGATAATGCTTCACTAGGATTACGTTGACTCAAAGTTTCGTTAGGTATAAGTTGTTTCAAAGTGATGAGAATTTCTTTTGCTTCTGGACGTTTAGCAGGATCGCAGTCCCAGCACCGTTTGTAAAGTTCGATATATGTAGGTGGCGTACCTCCTATCGGTTCTTCTCTATTTCCTTGGATAATGGTATAATAAATCATTGCGTCTGTTAGCTTCCTAAATGGTGGCTTTCCGCTTGAAACTTCCCAAAGGATTACTCCAACACTATATACATCCGACTTCTTATCACGTTTATATCCTTGCTTAAAAAGGCACTGAGGCTCAACGTATGCTGGCATTCCACGAACGATCGAATTTGTAGACGTTTCATTTATCTGTTTTGATAGTCCAAAATCTGCAATCTTTGGTTGTTTTTGATGAATTAAAATATTCTTCGAATGCTATAAAATATTTCAAACATTAGTTGCTGTAGCCAGAACTCAAATATACAAAAATAATATACTTACAAGATCTCTATGAATAATATCGTTATTATGTAAGAACAAAAGACCACGAACTATTTCCTTAGCAAGATGTAAGGTATCTACCCATTGTAGTTTTGCGAAATTCGTTTTTAGATATTCTCGTAAATTTCCGTCATTAGCGTATTGCAAAACCATATTATAATGCCCATTATTATCTATATAATTAATATTACTGCATGAATCAAAACATTTAATATTTTACATTTAATATTTTACATTTAAAAATGTTACTATCTATATACCTTTCGTAACCCCATAAAACTTGATAATATTTGGATGCCAATCAATTTTCCGTAAAAGTTTAAGCTATAATTTGAGATTATAAGTAAGCTGTAATATTATATCGGGAGCAATGCAAATTTTAATATAATTACCTCTTTAATAAAACCGTCATCTAAATCTACATCGGTATCGATTTTAAGACATTTGAGAGCAACCGTTAAATCATTATCTTTCCATTCGTATTTAAAAACATTTCCAAAGCCACCGGTGCCGATTATTTTGCGGCCTGTAAATTTGTTGTATTCAAGTTTATTAATAAGACCCTCGGAAATAGCTTTTTTAAGCCATTCTTCGGGTGCGTTTGGCATGAGTTGTTGTGTGTTTTCCATGATTCTTTGTATGCCGAAAAATATGTATTCGTTGTCATTTATACCTACTGATTATGTGATACTGCTACGTGACATAGCATATTGACCCATTGCAAGGATCTCTAATCTGTAACTTAGCCTTGCGTAACATGAGGTAGGTATTTTACCAGGAACGTAATACAAAGTATGAAGTGTTTGTGTTTGTGTTATGACTGTGAACCAAACCCGAATGGGACAATTACGACTTTGAGTTCGGGAGTCGACCATTATTATGATTCCAAACCCAATTAAAAAACCCTTTTCTTATTGCATATCCCAAACCTCATCGACCAATCAGCGATAAGAGTACCAGGAACGGAGTTTGTACAACGTACAACGTACAACGTAGAGTATACCAGGAATGGAGTATGAAATACGAAGAGTATGGTTTACGAAAGAGTTAGATGGTGTGTCTCTTCTGTATCTGATTGGATGGTCATTGTCGTGATTAGGGATTTCTATATTTGTATGCTGCATAAGGCTTTGCCCCCTTAAAACGTGTACGTACCAGTTTGGGTCCACATGATCTTCCGGCTAATTAAGTCTGAACTATAGTACGATCGAATTATAGCACTAAAGAGATTACGTATTCATTATATCATTAATTTATGCAAATATTAAAATATTATCTAAATAATAATATACCAGGAATGGTGTATGAAATACGAAGAGTATGCAAGTTAAGTGGGGTGTCTCTTTTTCATCCGATTGGTTGATCTAATCTCGTGACTTCATCTTTTTTATACTCTATG